CAGGAGAACCGCATGGCCCAGCACACCCTGCAAGCCCTGCAGAGCGAGCTGGACAGCCTGCGTGCCGACAACATCAAGCTCTTTGAGAAGATCAAGTTCCTGCAGAGCTACCCCGGCAGGGTGAGTACTTCTCTCCCGGCCTCAGCCCCAGGTGGGGCCCGGCAGCAAAGCAACCACAAAGCAACTGGGGGCACACGTGGCAGCCCTGGGCCTGGGGCCCCCCGAGGCCATCCAGCCCCCTGCCTGCCTGCTGGCTGTCCTCTCTAAGCTGGGACAAGCCCCCAGAGCAGAGCCATTGTAGAGATGTTTCCATCAGAGAAGACCCTGGGCCCCCTCTGTGAACTGGAGCAGGCCACTAGCCGCCCCAGGACCTGGATTTTGAGCGCGCAGGACAGGGCATTTTTTTAAATTTAAGAAACAGAATAAAAGCCGGGCTTGGTGGCTCAGCCTGTCATCCTGCACTTTGGGAGGCCGAGGTGAGTGGATTGCCTGAGCCTGCGGGTTCGAGACCCGCCTAGGGAACTTGGCGAGACCTCATCTCTACAATAAATCAAAAACTAGCCGGGCGTGGTAGTGCGCGCCTGTAGTTCCGGCGGATGGCTGAGGCAGAAGGATCGCCAGAGCCCAGCAGGTCGAGGCTGCGGTGGCCGGGAGCGGCCACTGCCCTCCAGTCTGGGCGACAGAGTGAGACTCCAACTCAAAAAAAAAAAAAGAAGGAAAGAAGCAGAATATGATCCAACCCCCCCAGAAACCAGTCAAGAGGATGGAGTAGAAACCTACCTACCGACTGTGGTCGTCCAGGCTGGGAGGCCCGCCCGTGGCTTCTCCCAGCCCCCAGGCCTCCCAGAGACCACGTCTCGCAAGGACACCCCCTCTGTGCCTGAGGGGAGACAGCAGCAGGGCCTCCCCGGGGTGAGACGCTGGTGGAGCCCGGTCCCCACCCAGCAAGGCTCTCCCGACCGCCAGAGGGCGCCCCGACTCTGCAGACCTGCCTGGCTCTGGGTGGCTGGCCAGGGGCATCTCCCTTCCAGGTCCGTGCCCCCACGGCCGTCCCCACACCCCTGGCGAACCCACCTCCCTCCACCTGCGCCCGGCCCTGCTGTCTTGACCCTTCCAGCCCCTGCACGCAGTTCCCCAGACGGGCCCAGGGCCCCGCCCCCCGGGGGAGAAGTCGAGGCAGCCACCGCCTTCGCGTTGTCACCGCAGCACCCTCTTCCAGCTCTGAGATCTGGGGCTGCTTCCCCGGCCTCGGGGAGCGCCTCCCTTTTGCAGACGGGGAAACCGAGGGTCCGCCGCGCCCCCACGGGGCCTTCCTGCTGGCCCAGGCGGCTGACCGGCTCTCTCCTCTCCCTCCTGCAGGGCGGCAGCAGCGACGACACCGAGCTGCGCTACGCCTCCCAGTACGAGGAGCGCCTGGACCCCTTCTCCTCCTTCAGCAAGCGGGTTCGCGAGCCG